ATACTTATAATATTATAAACTCCTTAAGGTCAGGGAACACATTTTATTCATCTTTATATTACCAGAGAATCTAGAAAAATGCGTTAGTATGAAGTATTTAGTGAAAGTTAGCTGAATTGAATTGTTAAAAATAATCAACAAATTTCAGGGCTAAAAAGGACCTGTGAATCCAATTCTCTTCTTTTCACAGAAAAGAAAATTGAATCCTAAACAGGTTGGTGGTAGAGCAGTGCTAGTCTCATCATGTTACCCACAGTATCCTGGACCCTCTCCTAAGACTGAGACACCCCAGAAGGGACAGCTTCTCTTTGGTGTCAATTGTCAACTACCTGGCACTGATAGGGAGATGTCATTTAGTCTACAGACGGAATTACAATTGGGTTTGGGGTCTATGAGAGGTCTCTTAGTCAGCCATCTTGGATCTAGCTGATTTCCACTATTCTGCAAGCAGAGGATTCTCACCCTGGGAAACACCCTTTCAAAAGAGAGATAGGGGTTGAGCAAGAGTTCAGCCAGGCTGTAGATGTTTTTTTTTTTTTTTTTTTTAACTGGGTAACAAGCACACAGATCTTTGAATAAAAAATTAAAAGCAATTAGAACTAAGATGTGTGTATTTACTAGATAGCATAAAAAAATTGAAAGGAAAAATGCAATTTGTTAAAAAGACTGGGGTCATTGAGTCTCAAACCTGTTGAATTTTTCTTTAAATATTTCTCAGATATTTTCTATTCTGCTATTATTCAGCCCCCCATCACCATGTATTACCAACAAAGATAATCGAATAAATGTGCTAATGGTGGAATAGATAAACATAGCCTGTGCTAAGGTTCTGTTCTGGAGTATGAAAGAACTGTTGAATAATTTCAGGCACTGTTAGAAAAATAATATACCTTGTCGAATGATACCGGCCAAACTATGTTGTGATATTGTGTGTATGTATAAATATGGAACAATGAATATTACCATATGTACAACAATAATGCAGCAATATAAAACATGAAAAAAATAAATTACAGAACTAAAGAACAGAAAAATAATATAGCTAAATATATTATTCAAAATAGCAAGTACAGTGGCACAAGCTTGTAATCCCAGTAACTCAGGAGACTGAAGCAGGATGTTCGAAAGACCGTGCCTCAAAATAAAAAATAAAAAGGGCTGGGGATGTAGCTCAGTGGCAAAATATTCCTGAGTTAAGTCTCTAGTACACTACAAAAAAAAAAGGTTAAGGTAAAACAAATCATTATGTATAGACTATTAGTGTTAACATGTTGGGTATTTTTTGAGTATTATCAATTAATATCTAGATAACTATAAATCCATTTATTTATACAATTAATATATTAATATTTAAGCAATTAGCATAATTGCCCTGGGTAAATCAAATTTATGATTTAATAATGTTGAATACAATTGCTAATTA